GGACCTTGGAGGTCTTCTAGTCTAGCCCCCTGCCCAAGCAGGGGAACATATCCCATTTCAGATAAGTGACTGTCTAGTGAGGTGTTTTGCGCTGGGATGGTCCCGGCTGGAGAGGCCCCCGTTTGAAGCAGTAGGCTCAGGCCAAAGGAAGGGCTCCTAGGGAAAGGCTAGAAGAAGACGTTGCATCCAACGGGAGGTCCGAGGCCCAGCCTTCGGGGCGTGGAGCTTTGTGGACAGACGATGACCTTCTGGCCATCCTGCTAACCTGCCTCATCCCTGGACAGGGCCCTCTTTGACTATGACCGAACTCGGGACAGCTGCTTGCCCAGCCAGGGACTCAGTTTTTCCTACGGGGACATTCTGCACGTCATCAATGCCTCGGATGACGAGTGGTGGCAGGCCAGGCTGGTGACCCCTCACGGCGAGAGCGAGCAGATCGGAGTCATTCCCAGCAAGAAGAGGTGAGCGCTGGTTCTGCCACGGTGGCCCTTGTGGCGCGCGGGGGGGGGAGGGGGGTGTTCACTGGCCAGTTGTGTCACTTTTCTTGAGAGGGGATGTCAGGAAGAGCCGAGACGGACTTTGGGGCCGAGAGGACTTGGGCCTGTGTTTTGCTTCCGAGCACGAGGGATTTTCAGGTGGCAGAGAAAATTCTGCTCGTGATTGGGGGGTGGGGTGGGGGGCTGTTTGGATTTTTGAGCTTCTGTTTACCTTCCACTGAAGGCCTGAAGAATCCGACGTGGCAATAATTTCTGTGAGGTTCTTGTAGGAAGATCTCATTGGGACAGGAAGAGGGAGCCGAGTGGAGATCAAAGTCACCCTTAAATCTATTTTCTTTTCCTTGATGCTGTCAGGGTGGAAAAAAAGGAACGAGCACGCTTGAAAACAGTGAAGTTCCACGCTCGGACAGGGATGATAGAATCCAACCGAGTAAGTGCCGCTTGGCTGCTTGTGTGTTTGTGTGCGAGTGTGAGAAGCAGGGAAGGGTTTTGAATGAAATCCGACTGGGGTGTAAGCACAGTTCCTGCAAGTGCCAGTGCACCTCAGGTGAGGGTTGAACAAAGGGTCTCGGTCCGCAGGAGAAGACAGACAGACACACACACAACATCCTCAGACTTCCTCCAGCCAATTTCGCCACTTCTGTGGCCCAGGACAGTTTCTGGGTTTCTGGCCCTGAATTCTCTCGAGGTCTTGCTGAAGGCTGGGATGGGGAATTCCTCCACGGACTGGTGGAGCTGGCTAGGCCACGGGGACCCCTCCATGTTGTCGTGGCAATGAAAATTGTTAGTCGTCTTCCACCATCCCTCAAGATCATTTCCTCCACCCTTGATTTTCCTCTCGCATCCCCATTTACATGTAATTTCCATGATTTCATTTGAGGGGCAGCTTCCCTGACACTGATCACCGTTGTCTGTTCATTTTTAATTTTTCTTGCATGCTTTAAACTCCATTGTTTTTTGTCCTTTTTGTTCCTGTTCTTTTTGTTTCCTTCTGCACCCCTTGCATCTTCACCTTCTTCACAGTTGATCAAAACGAAACGTAAAAAGAGTTTCCGTCTCTCTCGAAAATTCCCCTTTTACAAGAGCAAAGAGAACTTGGCTCAGGAAAGCAGCGGACAGGAACGTAAGTAGCAGCTTGCCCTGCTCGGATTCTCTCTGGGAGCCCCAGCAGCTGCCCCCTGCGAGGGAGAAGTGGCACGCGGCTTCCTCGGGGGGGGCTGCCTGGCCCCAGACCTGGTCGGCTTGGCGGACCCTGCATTGCCTCGAGGCTGGGCTGCCTAGGGGAGCATCAGCCTGTCTGAATGACACGGAAGGAGGACCGTGAGAATGTTGTGGCCGTGAATGGTGGTGAGCAGATGGACGGAGGGCCAAACGGTCCTTCATCCGAGGTCAGAGGCAGCTTGCAGCAAGGAACGACTGAGCCAGGGCCTCCGGGAGAAGCCCCTGGGTCCTCCTGGCTTCCTTGCTCTGCCTTTAACTAAGGGGGCCTCTCAGACTTTGCTTGCAACAACGAGCCCTTCACTCTTCCTGATGCCCCATATTTGCTCAGCTGTCTCTCTGTAGCCAAGAGCTGAAGCCTTACAAATGGCCCCCTCTGAATGCCTTTGGGGCAGAGCTTGGCCCCCGTGGGCTTCCCTGATAGCAGCCGGGGTCATTTAAGGCCTCAGTGGCAGCTCTCTCTCTCTCTCTCCTTCCCTTGCCCAAGAACTTAGGATAAATCAGCAGGTGGGTGGGCACATTCCACCATTTCTACAAAATGACCAGGGATGCCCTTCCAAAAGCAGCAGGTTTTATGGGCCCTCTCGCCCTGTGAAGGGCAGCGTTAGGCTCTCGTGCCGCATTCGCAGAGCCGGCGGCCTTCTCCCGCCTGAAGCCACAGCGCATCCCAGTTGGCCCTTCTGGCCTCGTCCTTTTTCTCAACTCCCAGCAACTTCCTGTTGCCTGCCGTCCGATCCCTTTGATTGCCGTTGTACAGGGATTGGATTTTGGAGCTTCTCCTTGCTAAGCAGATGCCGGGTCGCAAAGCTCTGCTCCTCTCGTACTGTTGGCCAGGAAAGCAGTCAAGGATTAGGATGCTGCGAAAAAGGGGATCCCCTGGGCAAGAAAGCCACATTCCTGGGGGCTGCCGAGACCCGGGCAGGTGCTGGGGCTCTGTGAAGAGGGGAAGAGAGCTGAGAATAACTCAGCCCAAACTCTCTGCAGCCTGGTGGATCTTTTGAGCACGATCCTGCCTTTGCTTTGTGCTCTGGGTAACGGTGACTGCAGGCTAGTCACTCCAGGGAGTAGTAGAGAGCTCACCCGTGGTGGGGATAAGTGAAGAATCGACCCCTGTGGCAGCGGGAGGGGGACCGGTGTCCAAGGATTGGCTGAGAGGAGCATCAGATTACCATTTGGGATGGGGGGGAGGGAATTCTTGGGCTTGGGTTGCTGAGGTCTGCACTGCTCTGGAGAAGGGGCATCCTCACAGTAGCCCCGGCCGGGGTAGCTGGTCTCGGAACAAGGGACTCTGCTTGGTGTTGCCGAACCTGGTTAGCCTGGTAGAGAGAGGCCCAGAGCATTGGCCTCTGCTCCTCCCCAGGCAGTTGGGGAGGTCTGCCTTGGTGTCTGGGCTTCTTCTGGAGCAAGCTTTGGCCTGCCTTTCCTTCCGGAGATCCTGCTCAAACGAGGAGGTTTTGGGACGAGGAGGTGGTTGGAAGCGTTGATCCACGAGCTTTAACTTCACTTGCTGTTGCAGCTCTCAGCTGTTCTGCACTCTTGTCACTAATGCTGTCCTGGCCCTTTCTCTCTCTCTTCCCCCCCCCTTTCTCTTTCCTTCTCTCGTTCTTTTCTCCCCCCCACCCCCCTTCCTCTCCCCTCTGGCTGGCTGTGAATCAGGACTTCCCTGGGTTAAGTGACGATTATTATGGCACAAAGAACCTGAGTAAGTGGAACTTCACTACACACCCTCCCTTCCCATTGCTAGCATGCCTGAGACCGGAAGGAAGCTCCCGGGACGCTTGGCACAGATTCAGCTCCCACCAGCCCTGCCTCACCGTTAGTCCCTAGACTGGCCGCCTCCTTCCAAAGGAAGGACCCCTCTCGGCACAGGCTGATGGGTCTTAGGAGCCTCTTCCTAGCAGGGGCTCCCCAGCAGCGCAGTCAGTTGGCCAGGAGAAAGGCCGGCATCGTCTCCAGGCCTTCTTGCAGCCAGGTGCCAGCCAAATGGGGCCCGGCTCCTATCGGGAAACCCACCTCCCCCACCTCCAACCAGGTCACTGAACCTTTGCTGTGTTTGCACTGTGTGTGTGAACTCCCTTCCTCCCCTGCTGCCTCAATGGGGACACCTCAGTTGGGCAGCCCTGTGGTTTCTTTCCTGTCGTTCGTTTGCTCACCGCTCCCTCCCCTCCTCTCTTCCCTTCTCTGTCGCTTCAGTGGCAGGGGTGTGCTCTCGGGGGACAAAGGGGAGCCGGTCAGGAACAGGGCTGCATGTCCTCCTTCAACCCTGCTTGTGCCTGAGCTGCTCTGGGGTGCCTGCCGCAGAGGGTGATGGTGGGGGGGGGGGAAGGAGAGCGATCCACGCGTGGCTCCTTCCCGAGTGGAGTGGATCAGCTAGGCTCCCCTCCACACCGAAGCAGAGCGGCCAGAGACGTGGACTCCTCTCTCATGTCCCCAGCGCTTGTAGCCCTCCACCCCTGGTTTCCCCTGCTGTCAACCTCTGTGTGTTAAATCCAGGCCTCTTTCTTTGCTTGCAGAGGGTGTGACATCCAACACCAGTGACAGCGAGAGCAGTTCCAGTAAGTGTCCCCTGTTTGTTCCCACCCGAGTTCCCTTCTGGCTTCATCCCATGCTGGGGGAGGTGTGGGGGGGGGGTTCAGAGCTGCCGGTGCCTCTGTCTGTTCTGTAGGCTGGTGGCTCTTTTCAGTTGGTATTGGAGCTTAGCATAAGTCCGCCAGGTAAAAGGGGTTGGTTTCAGGTAGCAGAGACTTAAGGCCTGAACAGGATCCTTTCGATTCTATGCCCCCCCCCCATTGATTGATTGATTGATTGATTGATTGATTGATTG